TGACCAGGATGGTCTCGATCTGTTGACCAGGATGGTCTCGATCTCTTGACCTCGTGATCCACCCGCCTCGGCCTCCCAAAGTGCTGGGATTACAGGCTTGAGCCACCGCGCCCGGCCACTATCTCTCCTTTCTAAGACAAAGACTGATTCTAAGACAAAGACAGAAGATCCTTTTCAATAGCTACAAGCCAAAATATTTTATTTTGGTTAAGTCTCTGATAAGGGACTCCACGGTGACCTGCTGGCACTGTGAGGGGGCAGGGCCGAGATTCTAACAACAGGAATAATAATTATTGACTCTACAAAATAATCTGTGACTCTACAAAAATGTTTTCATGACCTCTCCCCATACATACCAAGATGATAGAGATATGGGAACATTCCCTAAAAAATGAATTACTCTCATACTGGGAGATCTAAATTTAGCTTAGAAGGAATAACTGATGAATGGACTATTGAATTTGCTAGGAAGTCATCAAACTCAGGTTTAGATGCAGTTTTAAATCATCCAGAGAAAATAACCAATTTTCATGTCATTCTAGGAATTAATCAGACCAGCGAGACCCAGTGGGACCATATTTCCTTTTTCTTACTTCAGAGTTGACACATGATTCTATGATTCTGCCCCAGTCTTACTCTTAAAGGGGATTCCCCTACAAAGACTAAATAACATAAACTTTCTTTTTCTTTTCTTTTCTTTTTTTTTTTTTTTTTTGAGATGGAATCTTGCTCGTCACCTAGGCTGGAGTGCAGTGGCTCGATCTCAACTCACTGCAACCACCGACTCCTGGGTTAAAGTGATTCTCCTGCCTCAGCTTCCTGAGTACTGGGATTACGGGCATGTGCCACCACACGTGACTAATTTTTGTATTTTTAATAGAGGCAGAGTTTCACCATGTTGGTCAGGCTGGTCTCAACCTCCTGACCTTAGGTGATCCACCCGCCTCAGCCTCCCAAAGTGTAAGGATTACAGGCGTGAGTCACCACGCCCAGCCAATAACATAAATTTTAAGTATCATTTCTTAGGCTGCAATGAACCACAAACTTTAGCACACTATGACTAAAACAGTGCTTTTATTGTCCTGTTGGTGGAAGATTTAAGGAGGGTTAAATTTTTGTTCATTTTTCTTTTTCTTTCTTTCTTTTTTTTTTGAGATGGAGTCTCACTCAACATTGCCCAGGCTGGAGCGCAGTGGCATGATGTCAGCCCACTGCAACTTCTGCCTCCCAGATTCAAGAGATTCTCATGCCCCAGCCTCTGGAGTAGCTGGGATTACAAGCGCCTGCCACCACACCCAGCTAATTTTTGTATTTTTGATAAAGACAGGGTTTTGCCATGTTGGCTGGGCTGGTTTTGAACTCCTAACCTCAGGTGATCTGCCTGCCTTAGCCTCCCAAAGTGCTGGGATTACAGGTGTGAGCCACCACACCCAGCCTATTTATTTTCTTTCAACATTTGTTTTCCTTTCAATCATTAAAATAGTTCAGGTATGTTTCACTAATGAAAAATCTGAGGAAAAAATATAGAGTAAAAGTACAAAGAAAAACCCTGAGCCATAAACCTATTCATATAATAACTTTACCACATTTCACCCAAATCTTGCTTCTCTGCAGTATTTTTACATAGCTGAAAAAGTTATCTTCCTGCTTTTTTGACTTAGCATTACATCATGAGAATATTTCTATAAATATTATTTTATTGATGAAATTTCCTTATATACCACCATGAGTTTAACCATTCTGATAACTAGGCTTGTAATTTTATTTTAAATTAATGATTCTTTTAAAAACTCACTTTCATTTTACAAAATTTAGAAAATACCACAAAGCATAAAGAATAAAAGATAAAAAGTGATTAAATGTTTCAGTGTGGCTGTGGCAACTTGAAAACTGATATTGATAAGTGCCATTTAATGTAATCATTTTTTTTTACCCCTGTCCCACCCTCCTCACCTGGCCAGCTGCCGCCTCAGTCTGCAATCATATTTTTGACCCTCACAGAACCACCCAAAAAGTCAGTATGTTATAGTCACCACTTTATAGGTTGAGAGACAGAGTTTGAACAGATATGTCTGACCCCCAAACTGTGTTTTCTCTTGGCCAAGTTATATTGACCTTCCCATGATTACCTCCACCATCACCTCCACCACCCTCACCTCCAACCACCATCTCCACCATCTGTACCATCACCTCCTCAACCACCTCCACCATGTCTGCCATCACTTCTGCCATCTCTACCACCACCTCCACCATCTCCTCCACCACCACCTCCACCATCTCTATCATCACGTTCACCATTACTTCTGCCACTCCATCCACCATTTCTACCAACTCCATTACTACCTCCACCACCGCCTCCACAACCACCTCCACCATCTCCACCGTCATTTCCACCATCACCACGGCCACTTCCAACACCAGCCCCTCTTATTGCCACCTCTTTCACTTTCCTGATCTAGAAATTCTTTCTGATCTCTGTTCTACACACCCTTTCTTTATTCCACACCTTCATATTCTCCTTTCTTGCTTCACTCTGACCTTTTCTAACCTTCACTTTTTTTTGTTTTGAGACAGAGTCTTACTCTGTCACCAAGGCTGGAGTGCAATGGTGCATTCTCAGCTCAGTGCAACCTCCACCTAGCAGGTTCAAGCGATTCTCCTGCCTCAGCCTCCAGAGCAGCAGGGATTACAGGCATGTGCCACCACCCCTAGATAATTTTTGTACTTTTCGTAGAGAACGGGTTTCACCATGTTGGTCAGGCTGGTCTCGAACCCCTGATTTTGTGATCTGCCCATTTTGACCTTCCAAAGTGCTGGGATTACAGATGGGAGCCACCACGCCCGGACCTTATCTTTACTTTTTAAAGTGCCTGAGCAACAGAGATAAAGCAATGGCTTTCCTACCACATTCATTTTATGAATTATCCCAGTTATTCATTCATTCAACAAATATTCCCGAGAGCAGGCACTGTTCTGAGCACTTGGGAGCACAAGTAACCTCTCCATTTGCAGGATTATCTTGAGGACTAAAAAGCTTGATTTTTAGGATTTTTCTTCACACACACACACACACACACACACACACACACACACACACAATTTGCCACATTAGACCTACTTGCAAATTGTCAACCTGGACTTCAATGATGAGCTCCCACTGCAGAGCCTCCAAGCTCGATGGAAAGCAGAAGTGAGCTGTTCAAAAGGATACACGAGTCAAAAGGAAAGTCTCAGGCAATAGTCATGAAGTAATTTCTTATCTCTTATTGCCACAGCAAACTACCGCAGGAAAGAACTTCCTATTTCCATACTCTGATGATGTATATTTGCTTAACACAGTTTGCCTGAAATAGTTCATGCATGGACCCACTCCAGAAAAGACACTTGATTTATAAAGAGAGGAATGGAAGGAAATTAAAAGGTAAATTAAAGAATGAGTTCATCAACACATACACAAGCTTACAAACTTACCTTTTCCTCCTTGCTTGCATGATGTGAGCAGAAAAAAATGTGTGTTCTTTCTGTTTCTATTTTCTTTTTTGTTTGTTTTTTTGAGACAGAGTCTTGCTCTGTCACTCAGGCTGGAGTGGTGACGCGATCTCGACTCACTACAACCTCTGCTTCCCGGGTTCAAGCAATTCTCCTGCCTCAGCCTCCTAAGTAGCTGGGATACAGGAACATGCTGTCACGTCCAGCTAATTTTTGTAATTTTAGTAGAGACAGGGTTTCACCACGTTGGCCAGGCTGGTCTCAAACTCCTGACCTCAGGTGATCTACCCGCCTCAGCCTCCCAGAGTGCTTGGATTACAGGCTGAGCCACCATGCCTGGCCTTCTATTTCTATTTTCTTTTTCTTTTTTTCTCCCCATGGAGATGAGGTCTTATTATGTTGCCCCCAGGCTGGTCTCAAACTCCTGACGTCAAGTGATCCTCTCACCTTGATCACCCAAAGTACTTGGATTACAGGCATGAGCCATCATGCTCAGCCCTCTGCTTCTATTTTCTACATAAAATAAATAACTGGATAGAAATTAGACTTTATGTACTCCTACTATACAATGTCAAGGACAGCACTAGGAACATACAGGCCACTCAAGACTAATAAAGTCACTGCTGTAGTCAGATACTTCAGTGGGTTATAATTCTGACTCCTATCATTAAATTCTTTCACATATACCCCAGCAAAGAAAAATCAAGTGCCCCAGACACCCTTACTAAAAGCCTCTGAACCAACAACACCTAGCTTTCATTTTCATACCAGAGATATTTTGTTGAGCCTGAGACCTTCATCAAAGTGTAAAATCCCCTCCAGCTGCCTCCATGCAAAGGAAACTCCCCCACAAAGAACATGCTTTCTCGAAAGAGGGCGGCCACAGAGCGCTTCTCCAAATGAACTCCTCAGAACCCAAACACACATTGAATTGTGCTTTTCTAAATCAAACCTGTGGTCTGCGGTCCAAACACCTATCAAGACAACACCCATTTAAGAAAAAGAAAAGCAGAGGGAGTACACACCTCTCTCCTCTTCCAAAGCTTTCACAGAATTAGAGAATCTTTAGCACCTGGTTTCCCAGATTACAGAGAGTCAAGCAAACATCATATCCCCAAAGCCATACTTCCTACCTCACTACTCTAAGGAAAGCGCTGGAGTATCCATTGCTTTGCCATCTTGATATGTCAAGCAATTACCTCTCACACATCAGCCAAAGAGTGATGTTACTTACATGCAACACAGAGAGTAAATCCAAGAGTGGTCTCTTTATTCCTGGAATCCGAAGACTCATAGTACTCTGAGGCTAAGCTTGAGGATTCTACTCAAAGCAGCCTCAGCTCTGGAGGTGCCGTCAACGCAGAACTAACATTTGAAGCTGATCAGAGAGTTAAGCTCTTTCGAAAGAAGAGGAAGTGTCATCTCCACTTCCTCAATCCTACTGTTCTTCCTTCTCATTGTTATCAAGCCCTTCCTTGATGCCCATATCCAGGACACAGTACATGCAAGGCAAGCACACCCCATCTGCCTGACTTCATTGATTGCTAAGCACTACCTGGTGTATTCATTTGCAGAGCACATGTGCGAAATGGTACAAGGCTCTGCTTTCTTGTTTTGGAGGCAAGGATGTTCATTTACAGTGGAGGGTGAGATGATTTGCAGAGTCATTCTTAGCATGTTTGGGTGACATGCCGCTTGAACCTCTTTAGGTTCAATCTTCCTTCAAATTTCCCTCTTTCCTCCTTTCCAAATTGCTCCTGATGCTCTAATAAACAGAGGGTACAGATACATTTGTAAAAATTATTTTAAGATAAAAATAAGTCTAAGCCTGCCATCTTTTGCAGTACACATAGAAGAGTCTCTGACTTCAAAACTTTTCTTTCCCACACTGGAAAAGAAAAATGACAGTTGAAAGTTAGAGATATTCCATCTCATTACAATCTCATTACAAACACACTCCTGTCCTCCCAGTCTCCCCTGTCAACACCAGCTTCTTGTTTTTCTATACCTTCTTGGGAAATGAATACAGTCTCACTATATTTATATTCTGCTCTCAAAGCAAAGAAACTAAATCATTAGAAATGGGCTCATGACCAACGCAAGCTTCCAAACGTCATAGCTAAAATATCAGCATGTGCATCGGTTACCTTTCACTGCTTAACAAATCACACCAAAACGTAGTGGCTTAACACAACAAACATCTATTATCCCATGGTATCTGTGGGTGAGGAATCTGGGCCCAGGTTAGCTGGTGGTCCAGCTAAAAATTCCCTACAAGGCTGCAATCAGGTGTGGGCTGGAACTGCAGCCATCTCAAGGCTCAATGAGGGAAAAAAGCTCTTCTAAGATCACTCATTTAGTTGTGGGTAGGATTCAGTTTCTTGTGGGCGATTGGACTGGGGGTGTCAGTTCAATGCTACCTATGGCCTGGAGGCCACCCTCAGTCCCTTGCCATGTGGACTTCTCCTTAGGGCAGCTTCATATCATGGTGGCTGGCTTCATTAGCAAAAGAAGTGAAAGAGAATGACAGAGAGTTGAGTGAGAGCAAGATGGAAGTCACTTTTGTCACCTAATCACAGAAGTGACAGTCTATCGCTTTTGCCACGACTGATTTGTTAAAAGCAAGTTACTTGGTCTAATCTCCACACAAGAGGAGGGGAATTACACAAGATGTAAATTCTGGGAGGCGGATAATCAAAAGGATCTATCTTAGAAATCTGCCTACCACAGCATGTAAAACTTTTATCCAAACTCAAGTTGCCTCTGTCAAACCAAATGTTAACAAAAGGGAAGAGTCATCTAAAGAGAAAGTCATAAATACAGTGATAGTATTCAAAGAGTATCTGAAGTATTAATATAATACTGTAGCCCACTCTAGTCAATACTGACATCACACTGCTCAGACTTGGAAAACTAATGACTCTTATCCTTCCATCTCCATGAAACAGACACACAGTATATAAGCAAAAACCTAAACTAAACTATACAATGACAAGGGCTGGGCAGGGTGGCTCATGTCTGTAATCCCGGCACTTTGGAGGCTAGGGGAGGTGGATCACTTAACCCCAGGAGTTTGAGACCACCCTGGGCAACATAGCAAGTCTCTAAAAAAATAAATAAATTTAAATGTTTAAAAAACAACAACTAGCCAGGTGCGGTAGCGCGTGCCCATAGTTCCAGCTGTTCAGGAGGCTGAGGCTGGAGGATCACTTGAGTCCAGGAGTTCTGGGCTGTAGTGTGCTATGCCCATTGGGTGTCCACACTAAGTTCAGCATCAATATGGTGACCTCCCGGGAGTGGGGGACCACCAGGTTGCCTAAGGAGGGGTGAACCGGCCCAGGTCAGAAATGGATCAGGTCAAAACTCCCGTGCTGATCAGTAGGGGGATCACACCTGTGAATAGCCACTATACTCCAGCCTGGGCAACATAGCAAGACCCTGTCTCTT